GTGACTAGAAGCAGAAAGAACAATTAGGAGGCCATGTAGTAATCAGAAAGAGACATAAAACTCTGAGCTAAGGCAGTGGCAGTAAGCAGACGAGAGAGATCAAAGAGATAGAAGGAGGTACAATTAGGAAACCTTGGTGAGTAAATGGATGTGAAACTGGAGACAGGGAGGCTATTGGGAGGATATACAGATTGGGCATTACCATTATTTTGCGTAAGAAGTTATAATAGAAGAGTCAAGTGGTGATGCCTTTTGAAATGTTGTTTGAGTTGCTTCTGGGTTGTCCATAGCATCACTGAGTAACTCGATACACTGTACAGAAAAAACTAGATGAGTCTGGGAGTGCAGGAAGTAAGAATGGATGGAACGGCTGTGGTGAGTCTGTGTTTATGAGATCACAAGAGCACTGAGAACGCGATCCTGAGCAATATCAAGATGTATTGAGAACCAGGGAAAGGCACAGGGCAAGGCTCAGAATCAAGCAAAGTGGAAAGAAATGGGAAAGACATTATTGGAAAAGGACTAGGTAATTGTCGCAATACTCATGAAAAGTCAAAGTGAGGTTTAAAGTTACTTGGCTCTGGAAAATAGGTTAGTGGTGATTACTGTGAAAATTATCTAGAGCTGAAGAGGTGGCTCAGCGGTCAAGAGAACCTGCTGCTCTTCCAGGGGGTCCAGGGGGCATTTGCAGCTCTCCCATGGAGGCTCACACCTGTCTCTAACTCCAGTTCTGGGAGTCTGATGCCCTCTTCTGGCCTCCAGGCATGGCACACATGTAATGCACAGACGAACATACATGTGAAACATTTATACACACCAAAATAAATAATAAAGTTTAAAAACATTCTGAAAGAGAAGGGTGTGGCCGTGGCCATATTGAGGAGCAAATAAAAGATGAGCAGCGGAAGTCAACCAGGTTAGGGAGTAACGATGAAAAAGTGTATGGTGTCAGCTCAGGGAGAATGGTCCGAATGAGAGAGTTCAGAAAGTCTGAATGCTACAGAGAAATAGTAATGGACAGAAGCAGCAAATGATGCAAGAAGGTCCTTCAAGAACCAGGAAGCGATCACACGGGATTGAGGGCACAAGTAGGACTTTCTGTTTTTTGAAATAAAAACTGGGGATGAAGTAAGTTGAGTTTATGAGTTTACGCCAGTGAGAAAATAGAAAACTAAAGATATTTCCTTCTAAGGACCTCCGCTTTCTTTGAAGTGTGAGAGAGGGTCATCTAAGTGGAACTGTCCTTTGATATAGTACGTTGTGAATGCTTGGCAACCATTTCATCTAACTGAGCAAGAGGTAGCAATGATGAGCTTGTCTCCAGGAATAATGCTTCCTTTAGTGCTATCTGAAGTGTTAGATGTATTGGTAGTTGAGTGGGTGGATGGATAGATGGAGGGATTTTTTTTTCAAAGTTTATTAAATTATGAAAGTTTCCATTTCCGCCCCTCCTCCCAACACCCTCTCACTCCCCCCCTCCCCCTCCTCCTCCCTCTCCATCCCTAAGAGCAGTCAGGGCTTCCAGCCCTGTGGGAAGTTCAAGTTCCTTCCACCTCATTTTTTTTAAAAACAACCAACAAACACTAACACATTATTCATTCTGTTTTCTCACTCCATTGAACTTTTTCAAAGTATATTTAGAAACTCAATCCAGGAAAAAAAAAAAAAACCTTTGGAGCCCACCCACATTTAGTAATTATTTTGCTATTCTTATCCCGTTTTAATGAAGTGAGGATTTTTTTTTTAACCTTGACTTTATTTTGTCAGTTTGGGCCAATAGTTCTCGATTGTAGAGATTGTTCTGTATATTATATGATTGCCATGTTTAGCAGCATCCCTGGTCTTTCTACTACACACCATCCCCCCTCCTACACTTGTGACAACAAAATATTTCTATAGGCAACATGAAAGATGCCCTCAGAGACAAAATTCCTCCCAGTATGGAAATTCTCTTGTTAAAATAGACAAGTCCTTGAGAAAGAGAAAGGGAGTGGGGGAGATGGGAAAGAGAGAGAGGAGAAAAAGAAGGGATTAATGCTAGAGAAGTACTCTTATTTACTAGTTGACCATTATTTTTGATTATATTTGAAATAAGTGTAATCTCTCTTTGGGCAGATTGGAATATTGAGGTTCAGAGAAGTTAAATTACTTATCATGACTAGGTAACAAAAACTGTGTCCTCTCTGGTATTTTTCATGGTCATTTTTATTGCCTTGCCTAAGAAAGGGTCCTGCTGTGCTCTACTTGGACTCCCCTTCTTACACTGCTGTCTGCATAGATCTCTGTCATTTGCAAGTGTGATAATGATCAACAGCCTTGTCTTGTTTGTTTTTGTCATCTCCAGGAAACTACTAACTGTCATAACTACCTTCTCAATGGCTCAGAAACCACTGGTGCATGTATTTCTTCTGTTTGGTTCTGTCCTTTTTTTTGTTGTTGTTGTGTCAGACTGCAAGAAAATAAGGCCCTCTGGCGATATCTTATAAAGAAATAGTTGAAATAATGTCTTCCGGAAGGGGGTGCATTTGGCCTTGTGTGTCTTATTTATGAATGTGTTTGATTTTTGAGTCACCAGGTCAAAGCACGCTCATGGATCTCAGAGACAGTGGGGAATATAGTAGACTTGCTTTTATAAAGTTTCAAATCTAATACAGCCATAATTGAAATCAGTGCGGAGGTTTCAAAAGAAAGAAAGACAGGTGGGAGGGAGAGAGGGAGGGAGAAGGAGAGAGAAGCTATCTTAGTTAGGGTTACTATTGCTATAATGAAACACCATGACCTAAAGCAACTTATGAAAGGGTCCATGTAACAGTTCATCCTCAAAAGGAAGGAGAGCAGGAACTCATGCAGGGCAGGAACCTAGAGACAGGAGCTGATGCAGAGGCCATGGAAGAGTGCTGCTTACTGGCTTGTTAACAACCACATGGCTTGGTCAACCTGTTTTCTAATAGAACCCAGGATCACCAGCCTAGGGATGTCACCACCCACAATAGTTAGGCCCTCCGCCATCAATCACTTAATAAGAAAATGCTCCACAGGCCTACCCGGACCTTCATCTATGGAGAAACCTTCTCAGTAGAGCTTCCTTCCTTTCAGATGATAAGGCTTGTATCAAATTGACATAAAACTAGCTAACACAAAAGCTAATAAAACCGCTATATGAATCAGCGGTGCAATTCCTAAGCATTTGCCCAAAGGGCTCTACACCCTACCACAGAGACACTTGCACATCCTTGTTTACTGCTGTTCTGTACCCAATGGCAAGGAGATGGAACCAGCCTAGATGTCCAACAATAGATGAATGGATAATGAAAATGTGGTACACATATACAGTGGATTATGTTCAACCATAAAAAATGAAATCTGCAGGAAAATAGATGGAATTAGAAAATATATTGAGGCAGCCCAGATTCAGAAAGAGAAACACTACTATTCTTTCTCATATAGAGGTCCTATATATGAGTTTTTAAAGATGTGCATTTAGATGGAAGTGACTTTGTGCAGATGCCAGGAAACTGGGAAGGGGCCTGTGAGAGAAGACAAAGGAGGCTTCAAGGGAGCAGAGCAGGGAGGGTAATAGAACATGTGTGGTCTGGACGTGATAAGAGGAATACTGGGTGTGGAAATGTCTAAGCAGACATTGGTGAGGGTTGGGCTGCAGAGAGAAGATGAAGAGGAGAAGGGGAAGAGTCATCAACAACAACGGTAATAACAATAATAAAACTAGTTAGGAGACAGGAAACAAACTAAGTGAAAATATATGTGTTTACATGTATGTATTTGTGTATGTATGTTTAAAAAGTGATAAATGTCAGAACAACAAAACATAAAAGTTCAAGGAAGAAAGAAATAGGAAGTGTTGGGTAGAAGGAGGTATGTCAAAGTTTAGATGCATTGACTTGGAAGGCCTTTATAAGAAGGGTCTGTTTGGTTGGAATCCTGCAAAACAGAGCAAACAAGCAACATGGATACTTGGAGAGAGAACCGAGTTCTCTGTGTATAATGAGCAATCAATACAAAGGTTCTGGCATGTATAAAGCTTAGGAAGGGGTATTTGTAACCATTACAGTAATGGCGTAGGAGTTTCCAAAATGCTAGCGAGCTATTTCAGTTCTCTGATAGGAGAACCAACTGTGTCCTCTAGTCATGCAGCTCAATACTCTTCTGCTTACCACTGTTTTATCATCTCTTACTGTCAACCATGAAATACATGTTGGCTTGTGATTGTATGTGCAATGTTCCTGTTAATTTTGCCACTTTTACACAGACATTTCACATGTTAGCCATTCTAATCACAGCTATTTTTGTACTCCTCAAGAATCATTCATATATATATATATATATATATATATATGTAATATCCAAGGAACTTTTGATTTTCTTCTCAATTTTATTTTCCTTCCATTTTTTAAACTAATTAACATGCCGTATTATGAAAATTTCTGTAGGTGAACAAAATAATATGAGAGAAAACCATTTTTCTTCTTTTTCTTCCTCAGTATTGAGACAGCCTGCATATCTAGATCCTTAAGCATCCTTTTCAAAATATTGAGTATATATATATATATATATATATATATATATATATATATCCATCCACAGGAATGCATTTAGTAACCTTTTACCCTTTCCTCCACCCATACAAAGCAGCTTTACAGGCCTGTTGGGTAGTTGCTATTATCCTCATATTCCAATTGAGAGAGGATGCTGAGGCTCAAAGTTAGATGTCTTACCTAAAGTCTCACTGGTAGTAAGTATAAAATCCAGAGCTACTTCACTGTTTATATTGGCACTCTTTCTCCTCACTGAGGGGGTCAGTTCTATGCATTCATCATGGTAGGAGACATCCGAACACTTGCTGGCAGTTAGAGGGAGGAAGAAAATTCCCCCAGTCCCATTAGCTGTTTTAGGATTCACATGGTCAACCAGATACAGTGCCAGACTGCATCAAGGAGTAGTTTGCTAATTGTCTCTTGGGTTTCTTCCTTCCTTCTCTACAGATATATTTGGGTCCACCCGAGGACAGCCAAGTACCTCCAGTGCCTCCACCTCGAGTGACAGCAAGAAGGCACAAACCAATCACAATCTCGAAGCGTTTGCTGAGAGAGAAGACAGTATTCTACACTTCTTCCCTCGAGGAAAGTGAAGGTCAGTGGTTAGCGTGACAGCTATATACAAAGAAAATACTGGAGGACAGAAATGGGAGTGTGGCTATTTTCTCCATGCAATGATAGACCTTTCATAGGTCTTTGGCTTACAAGCAGTCAGGAGAAGCAAGGCTTATAGTTTGTATTCTAAGAGGAAATTAGATTACTGGCAGTTGATGGGGCAGGGGTGAATCCTACACGATCCCTTGGAAGGCTAGCAGCAAATCCAAATTATTTGTAGGTATGTTACTCTAGTTCATTGACATATGTGTACAAGGTTCTTGGTAATGTTCTGAGAATGTAATTTAAATGCAGCTACCATGGGTTGAATAATGGTCATGCTCCAAGTAATTTGATAGAGGCCAAATGAAATTAAGTCACATGCCCCTGCCCTCATGGAGCATACAGGACAGAGGAAGACATGGCTATGTGAGAAAATGAGCATCATCCAATGGGACGGTTGTTCCTGAAGAGACTGCACCTATCCTAAGTGGGCCTTAGCCCCTGCCGCTCCTCTGACTACTTTTTTTGGGGTGACCTATAATCTCTGCATGACCAAACCAAGCACTGCACTGTTCTTGTGAACCAGTGAGCCACATGTGACAGGCAACCCCTCTCTCTTTGTGGGGGCACTGGACTTGGCTTTCAGGACACTAAACTTGATCCCCCTCTTTTCACCCACCTCACCCCCCTCTACTGCTTTTATTTTTCTAATTTTGATATTTGAAGACTCTGAAGGTCTTAGCCCCCTTTGCCATGCTGTTTTTGTACACCACCTCTCCAAGTTGCTTGCGTGTAAAAGGCGTCTAAATGCTGCAGAGGGCTCCCCGGTTCGTTTAGATACAGCATTTGTTCTACCCTCTACGTTCACATCTGACATTAGAAATTCAAGAGGAATGGAACATAATTTGTATTTTAATGGTGGTGGCTGGAAGCTAGTCCTTTGTACAATGACAGGTGATCATTTGATCACTAAGCTCCATATCTCTTCCTCAGCCCAAAGCACATCTCTTGGTTTTCTATTGCTTCTGAGCCTACTCCTTTCGTGATGCCGCCCCTCTCAACAACTTTCAGCTCCGGAACACTGAGGTCGAGAGTGTTGGTCTTTCCTGGTAGCTCTCTGTCCACTCTCTCTTACATTAGGTCCATCAGCAATTCATGTTGGCTGTGGATACACATCACATATGAAATTCTTGGTGTCCCTTGGGACCACACGTGCTGAGGCCATACCATCTCTTCCCAGCTGTCTGTGCTGGCCTGCTTGAATGCTTCTAATCCATTCTCCAGAGCAGCCAGTAAATTGTCCATCCTTTCAAAAATGTGAAGCCCATGACCTCATCCCTCTGCTCCAAACTTTCAGTGACCTCTCTTCATGTTTCGAATGAAATTGTTTTGTACTGTTTTCAGTGACCCCTGCTTATCTATCTGAACTTTCTTTCTGTATTTTCTGTCCCCTTTGCTCTCTATTCTCTAGTTTTATGACCCTTGATATTCCTTATGGGTCTCAAATTTACATTGCCATCTCCTTGTGTAGAGACCTTTTCTGAGCACCCAAGTTAAACATTTCTTTTTTCCTGTCCCCTTACACTGCTTTGTTTTATTCATGCCACCTGCTACTACTTGATGACATATTTAGTAGCTACTTTCCCCCTAAGAACATTAGATCCATTTTTATCACCAGGTCTGGGACCAATCCCTGCTATACATTGTGTGTGTTCAGTACATGTTTATAATGTGAATGGTTATATTAGGAATATGGATAGAAAGGGATTATCTAGCTCAAGGGATCACTTCCATAGAGGAGGAAGAGAAAGTGGAAAATGGCTGGGAGTACCAAATGCTTGTTTTGTTGCCCCATAATTAGATTTTTTATGAAATAAATTTATTATAATGTTCCCTCCAAAAACCTTATACTAACAGAACTTTTTAGCACTTTATGCCCTACACCAACACAGAACTTGCTACATAGTGAGTGCCCAATTAATGAGTGTATTAGATGAATGAACTGGGTATCAGTAGACCTCAGGTCTAATTTCATTTTGGTCACTAGCCTGTTAAGTAAATTGAACTGGGGTTCAATTTGCCCTGCTCTATGATGAAGGCTTTGTATCAGATCTTCAGTGAGACTACAATCTACCCATTAATTTTTGGACTGATAAATAATGCCCAGGCCATAAAATAAACCTCATTAAATTGTAAATCTCAGTAAAATGTATTTTGCGCAACTACCTTATCTGAAAATATTTGCATTTTCCTGAAAAGGAAATCTTCCAATTCCTCCTCCTCTCCAGCCTCTGGCAATGACTCTCTAATCTTGGAGACTTGTTTATTCTGCAATTTTTCTATAAATGAACTCCTATTCTATATAGTCTTTTATGGCTAGCAAATTATTCTGGGGTGTGTACATACACTTTCTGCTGCTATATGATATTCCAGGGTGTGACTATATCACATTGTGTTTATCCATTCCTCAGTGAATGGGCACTTAAATTGTATTTGTGTTTTAGCTGTTATGAATAATACTGCTATAGTATTCAGGTTGTTGGGGGAATGTCTGACTTCAGTTGTCTTGAGTGTATTGCCGAGTATACATTTACTCTGAAGTTAGACTTTTGCAGAGCGACCAAGCTAATTTCCAAAGCACATGTGTCATTTTACTTTCTCACCAATAAAGGATGGTGGTTCAAATCTCCCTGTATTCTGGTCAGTGCTAGTTACAGTAGTCTTATCTTTTCATTCTGTGCATTTTAAGTGGGCGTGAACCTATAATCTCATTTAATCCTCGCTATTTCAGTATGAAGTAGGTACCTGAGTTTCAGAAAGTCATTTGTGGCTCAGAGAAGGAAAGTAATTTGTCCAGTTGACACCACAACCAAATTAGAAAGCAGCAATTTTCCCCCTTCTATCTTTCCCCAAAACCCACATGCCTACTAGATTTAACACTGTACTTCTTACAATGTGCCCCACCACCATTCTAAGGAGCAGCTGATACTGCTCACCACTTTTCTTGACAAATGGCATCTCATTATTTGATTTCCAAATTAATGTTATATTATAAATGTATATAATATTTTAGTAAATCCTTCCCCCAGTATCATAGACCCTTTCATATCCTATATCAAATCATTGGCCATTCTAAGTCTGTATTATTTATTTGACACAGGGCCTTGCTATGTGATCTAGGCTAGCACTGAACTTTCAATCCTTCTGCCTCAACTTCCCAAGTGCTAGGATTACAGACGTGTGCAACTAACTGCGCCTTACAGTCCACCTCTTTAACAAAGAGACTGTATTTCTTTACTGGTGCTGTTTCAGTTTCGGTCATTGTCTTCAGCATTCCCATATGTTTTGAAATCTATAGTTTGTCCACTCTGATCTGCTTTTCATACTGAGCCCAAGTGGAGGTTCTGGAAACATCTATTTGACAATGTTTCCTTTCCACCTATCGAGGTAATATTCATATTCCTATTCAGGTCTTACTGAAAAAGCGCCTAGCTAGCATAGGCCCATATCTAGCTACTCACATCTTTTATCATAAATGTTCAAGACAAACTGAACTTATTATTTGCTTTTGAAATATATTTTTGTTTTAAAATTCTTTCATTTTTGAAATTATAATGTATTTACATCATTCCCCCTTCCCTTCCTTTTCTTCCTTCATATCATCCCATGGTCTCCTTTTTTATTGATTGTTGTTACATGCATATATGTGAATATATATATATATATATATATATACCTAAACATAACCTTCTCAGTCTGTATAATGTAATATTTTCTTACAAAGCATGATTTTTTTACTCCTCCAAGCTATTGTTTGTCTGAACAATTTTGATTCATCAATTTCTCAGCCACAGTTCAACAATTAACTCTAAATGATCAATATAATAATTATATATAAATGAAAACAGAACAATAATTCCATAAGATTAATTGTCTAGTCAATGTTTAAAATTTCTCATTGTCTCATTACAAGAAACAGGTTCCCAGTAAGGTCCCTGTGTCACCTTTGGTGACTACAGCTCTCAAATGTCTCCCTTTGCTGAACAGAGACAGAATGCTTAACTACTGGGCTCTAATATCAGCTTTATTTACATGTCTGTTTCATTTATTTATTTATTTTTGTATTTTAAATATTTATTTATTTATTTATTTATTTATTTATTTATTTATTTATTTATTATGCCGGGGATGAAATCTACAATCTTGTACATTCTTTACTAGTACTGTATCCCTGAGTTGTTAACCCCAGCCCCAAACTTCCTATTATTAATGAAGGTGACAATGTCCACAGTAGATATTAGTTGATTTTTTTTTTCTGGAGACAGAGAATAACTTAAAGTAAGTTTTCAAAAATTTAAATATATGTGTGTGGGCTTATTTTTCTAGAGAAAATCTTTCTGCCTGTTATTGTGTTCTTTGAAGCTTTAACTATATTCAGAATCACTTAAAAGCTTATTCTAATGGGCACAGGAAATTACGGAGCACAAAGGCTAGGGGAAGAATGTAAATTGGCTATTTGAGGATATCTTTACATGGATAGAGAAAGAAATTAAATTCTGTTAGGCTTGTTAGCTTGAAGTTTGGGGAACCTTAAAATTTGCTTTAAAAGTGCTTCTTGAGAATTAGTTGATGCATTTATTTAGAAAGAGTGAATTATGCAATTGATTGGGCACTCTGTCCTTTTTGAATTGCATCCTCTTGAATAAATCAGATTGGAATACTAGAGTTGATTCAGTTGTGTCAGTGAAAGTCATACGAACATCTTAAATTGAACCTCATTTGAATGAGACCTGTGACTCCAGGCAAATCGGGCAGGGTGGAGACTGTTCTTGTGGGATGTAGTCAGTCTGTACTATAATAACAAGTTTGAAAATGTGTGCAGATTTTCAGATTTAAATATGTATACATGAAGGTCATAATTAATCTTTCTTCTTTGTACCAATTTTTTTTTCAGATGAAACCCAGCATCAAACTCCTAATGGTACAATCACTAGCAACCTGGATCCCCCCAGGCTACCGCAGCACCTCAAACTACCCATTCAGAAAAGTGGGGAAACTGACCCTGGAAGAAAGTCCCCAAATAGACCTGTTTCTGACTGTCAATCGGAACCCTGCCCAGAGATGGATGTGGGGAAGCTGGTATTTAGGTTGCAGGATGGAGGGACCAAGGCTACTCCAAAGGCCACCAATGGACCTGTGCCAGGCTCTGGGACCACAAAGACCTCCTCTTTCCATATAAAGAGACCAGCTCCCAGGCCAGTGGCTCACCACAAGGAAGGTAAATGTTTAGCAATGCTATGGGAAGTAGAACTGAGCCAAGCTGCTTTTCACTGTGGGAACTTTCTAGAGTTGGAGGTATCTTCCTCTCTTGCTCCTGCCCTCCTTCTCTCCCTCTTGTCACGTGTCCTCCCATGTCTTGCTTTTTTGATTTTAATTTTTAAAATTAGCTTGCCAAGTAATTAGTAGGTTTTAGTATGAGATTTAAATGCATATTTCATTTAGTTGATTCTTATCCCCCATTCCCCATCTCCTTGATTCCCCCTTCCTTGCTGTATATTTTCAATATTCTTCTTTCTACTTTGTTCTATTGCCTTCCCTACCTGCTCTCTTAGAGCCTCTTGAGTTTCCCAGTCGCATGGGTCACCTTCTAGTTCCTGCCCTTTATTCGTATTTACTACCAGTTGTGTATTTTACAGTTAGAAACTAAGATGTGCATATGAGAGACAATAGACAATAACTATCTTTCTTGAGCCTGGGTTAACCGGCTTAAAATAATTTGCATTCATTTCCATGCATTTTCCTTTTGAAAATTTCATTTTTCTTTATGGACAACTAGAAGTCCTTTGTGTGTAGGCACCACATTTTCATTATCCACGTATCTGTTGATGGATATCTGGGCCTAACGATCATGAGCAGAGCTACAGTGAATGAACATGGACGTGCAACAAATAATGTGGCCAGATATAGAGTTCTTTGAGTTTATGGAGTGGTATAGCTGGGGAAAAAGAAAACTCTATTTTTGATTTTATAGATGCCCCCACACTACTTTACATAGTGGCTTCCCCAGCTTACCCTCCCACCGGGAGTGTGTAAGTGTTCCTCTTTTCCCATATTGCTTTCTTGATGTCAGCCATTCTCACTGGGTGAGATGGGATCTCAACATCATTTTAATTTACATTTCTTTGATGGATAGAGATGTTGAATATTTGAAAATGTATCTGTTGGCCACTTGTAATCCTTCCTCCGAGAACTATCCTCATTTAATCACTGTTCTCTCACTGTGAAGAGACACCATCACCAAGCCAACTCTTGTAAGGAAAACATTTAATTGGGGGCTCGCTTACAGTTTCAGAGGTTCAATCCATTATCGTCAAGGCAGGGAGCATAACTCCATGCAGGCAGGCAGGGTGCTGGAGGAGTAGCTGAGAGTTCTATTTCCTGGTCCATAGGCAGAGAGGAAGACTGGGCCTGGCATGAGATATTTAGACCTCAAACTCCACCCCCCAGTTATACACTTCCTCCAACAAGGTCACACCTCCTGATCTTTTTGATCCTTTCTAACAGTTCTACACTTTAATGACTAAACATTCAAATATATGAGCCTATGGGGGACATTCTTATTCCAGCCACCAGTGTCTGTTCAGATGGTTGGCCCATGTTCTAATTGATAACTGTTTCTTTGGTGTTTACTTTTTAGAATTTTAAAGCTATTTATTGGAGATATTAACTCCTGTATGTTGTCTAGCTGATGAAGACTTTCCCCGTTCTCTTGGCTGTTTATTCTACTCATTTGTTATTGTTATTGTTGATAATGGTGGTGGTGGTGGTGGTGGTAGTGGTGGTTCTTTGAATCCATATGGTTCCATTTATCAATTCTTGGGCTATTTCCTGTTCAGAGTTTTGTTGTCTATAACTATATCCTTAAGAAGTGTTTACCCTTTGTTTCATTATTTCCAGTTTAAAATCTAGGTCTCTGATCGATTTTGAATTAATTTTTGTGTAAGCTGAGAGCTATGAAATCTAATTTCATTATTTTGCAGGTAGTTATTGAGTTTTGCTGGCAGTTTGTTGAAGGGGCAGTTTTTCCTCCAGCACATGTTTTTAGCGCTTTAATCAGAAATGAGATTTTCATAGCTGTGTAGGTTTATTTCTAGTTCTTCTGTTGTGTTACCTTGGTCTACATGTGTGTTTAGTTCCAGTAGCTTTTATATTACATTTCCATAGTCTAATCTGAGGTCAGGGAATGTGGTGTCTCTGGCTGTGTTCCTTCTGCTTCATGTTGTTTTGACTGTGTTCTTTCATATTTCCTATAAATTTTAGGAATTTTTTTGGTCTCTATGAATAATGAATCTCAATGTGCAGCCCATTAAGGTCTTGGGCATTAGATCCTTCTGCCTTAGCCTCCTGAACCTCCCAAATGCTGGGATTATAGGCATGCAGCTCTGCACCTGGCCTGACATCCTTTTAAAGGGAATACGTTTCTGTTTGCTAGCACAGTGCTGGAGTGCAGGTAAAAACGACTACATAGAGTGAGGAACTGGGGAGCAGGATAGCAGAGGAAGGCCAGCAATGGGATTGGCGTGTCAAGTATCCATGAAGCCTTTCACTCTTAATGAACAGCATCACAAATTTCGTTTTAGAGAGGAGAGGCAGGGAGGTATTTTAGAGTATATATGAAGACAGAGGGAAGCAAGAAGGAAAACACGCCTGTCCAGATAAAGCAGAGGGAAGAAATTCTGTCGTCTGTGGCAGACTCGGTACATGCTGACAGCATTGACTTTGAGCAGTTCAGTAAATGCCGTTCTGTGTGGATGCCAGCAAGATTTCCACAGAGCAATTGGCGCTTTCTAATTCCCTGGTTTGATCCTCAGATGCATTTGCATGCCCATGTTATTTTCCGTGTCTGTACCTTGGGTTTTATACCTCTAAAATTGGAAAAGGAATACCTACAAATAATTTTTAGGATTATAAGGAATAACAAACAAAATACCTGGCTCATAATCAGAAAATGAAATATGTTATTAATTTTCTCCCTCAGCCCTGTCTTCCCTCCCTACAAATTGCCTCTTATGGGAGGCAGCCAGGAAAGACCAGACATCTATGGAGACATCCGCTTCAGTTTAGAAGTCATATATTGATCATCACATTAACCAAGTAGAAGGTTGGGTAACTGCACTTCTACCCCCATGGTAAACTTTGCCCTGCCCATTGTCAAGCCAGATCCTGTCAGCTCAGCACACACAGTAACTTTTAGCCTTCTCCATCGGTTCTGCCTCCAACATCTTTGGATATAGAATGCAATCCCCGTGCCATCCCTTCTGCTGCTTCTCTCACACTCCCATCCTCTGGGCTGCTGGCAGCAGCAGCTGTGATCTAATGGTATCAGTTAATATAAGAACTCATCTGACTTGTCCAGAGCCATCCAGGCTTTCTCAGTCTAAGCTGCAGCATTGCCAGATTTTTTTTTCTCTTAAATCAGTTAGCAACCAACTTATGTGGTACAGTTTTCCTTAAAGCCTCTGGCCTTCAGCCTTGGCAGAACTTGGATGGGTTGGGTCATGGTAGAGCTCTATAGCCAAATTGCTGGTATAGTTGCGTCTTTCAACCTTCCCCACCTATCACTTTGTCTCGGCTTCCCTCCCTAGTTTCGCTGATGCTCCTGGTAAATTCCTGGACACCAGAGGAGTTATCAGTAAATCAGTTGCTACACATAGTTCTTCCCCTGAGCTGAAGCTGATGATTAACCCCATGTGCTAACAAGCAACCTGAATGGCAGGCTTGGGGAGAAAGTTGCCTCTTCTGCTCACCCACTGTACACCAACAGTGGTTAGCCTCTTCCACCTTTGCTGTTGAAGGTGCTTTGTTGCTTCGGGTATTCCAAATGTGTCACTGTCCTAACCTCTCTCCATCTTTCCCCCTTTCACTGACCTAACATGTGAGTGGATTTCATTGTTCTCCCCATTTTCCCCAGAGCAATTAGAAATGGCAGGCGCCTGGTGCATGGTAAAGGGCTCACTTCCATGGCAATCGAGTAACTTTGCAAACCTCACTATTGTTCCTTGATGGAATTTTATTCAGGACCCTTTTCTATTCCAGACACGGGCCTGTATGCTTTCTCTTATTCGTTGCATAATTTTATTGTTGGTAAGTGTGTGAGGTAGGTTTTACCCTACCCATCTCAAAGAAAGAGTGGCTCAGATATGAAGCAAATTGCCCAGCGTCCCTTGGGCTATAAGATGCAGAGATGTTGCTGGAAACAAGATATTTGGTATGCTTTGTATATAACACATTCAGTTTTTAAAGACTTATTTTAAGCATGTGAATATTTGCCTGCATGTATGTATGTATCATGCACCTTGTGCCCATAAAAGCCAGAAGTGAGTGTCACATCCCCTAGCACCGAAGTTACAGATAGGTATGAGTCACCATGTGAATGCTGGAGTTCACATATGATTCCTACACAAGAGCAGCAAGCTCTTTTCAACCCATAATAATCTCTCTAACCCCAAAGTCTTTTTTTTCTGTCTTAGCCACCTCCCTCTTTTCCAGCAACCATTACTTTGGGGTATACAAATTAGCCTGTCTCCTTTTGACCATTTATTTGAGTTTGTTGTCTTTTAAATTAATTTTCTAGGTTAGCATATAGAGTAATGGATGGTTCATCATAGCATCTTCATGTCTATGTGTTATGCTGTGTTGCCATTTATTCCTCTCCTTCTCTGTCCTTTCCTGTGCCTCCCCTACTTGGTTACTTTTCTTTCCCCAGTTAGTTTTCCCCTCTACTCTCTTTCCTGTTTTATATATATATATATATATATATATATATATGTATGTATATATATATATATATATTACATTGCTCTCCCTATTTCCCACCTCCATCAAGATCTCTTCCTCCACTCTCCCCAGTTCCTATTTTTGTGGCCCTCCAACGTAGATACCTCCCCACATCTATTGAAATCTAGGTTCTCCATGTAAGAGAAAACATGTAGTAGTCACTCAATGCTGCTTTCTCTTATCAGTTCTGGCTTTACAAAATGCAAGTGTGTAATTTCTACGAAAAGATTTAGTATTTTTGGGAGAATGAAGAGGGCAGAAGGGTGTGTGTTTTTGCTTCTATCTATGTACTCATTCAGACATCACACTAAGCAAAGGGAAAGACCGAGAGGAAAAGTCATGATTCTGCCTTCCCATTGTTCACAGTGAGGATGGCCCATAGGCTGTCAGTCACAGTCCGGTATGAGCTATGTTCTTGGATGATCATGAGAGCAGTAAGAG